GCCGGGACAGCGCCGCGACAGGGCCGCGAAGGGGCGGCGTCGGGCGACGGGGCAGGGCCAGGGCGGGGCCGCGACGGGGTCGCTACAGGCGACTAAGGGGCCGCATAGGGGGGGCCGCGTAAGGGGCCGCGTAAGGGGCCGCGTAAGGGCAGGGCAGGCCGCGTAAGGGGCCGCGTAAGGGGCCGCAAAGGGCAGGACAGGCCGCTAAGGGGCCGCGAAAGACTAGGGCAGTGCGCGCAGCGCGCCTCGGGCAGGAAAAAACAAAAATTTAAGGTGGGCCCATAGGAAGGAACGGTTCCTCTAGGGAACCTGCTCTATACCATGTGAAGAAATAGGAATGAATGATTGACTAAGAAATAAGTTGGGTACAAATATGAAACCCTAAGAAACTGTACCCCATAGTGTCTACCCCACTATAGCCTAGAAAGGCTATGAGATTAATGTTTGACAATCTTGTGCAGGCATTCAGATTGGCTCCCCTGATTTCCTTTGTGCAGGCATTCAGATTGGCTCCCATGATTTGGACTCTGGAGCTGAGACTGCTGGTGCTGAGCTTGGGGTTGCTGAGGCAGAGGGTGAGGGTTCTGGGGGTGCTGCGACTGGGGGTGCTGGTTCTGGGGGTGCTGCGATAGGGGGTGCTGGTTCTTGGTGTGCTGCGACTAGGGGTGCTGACTCTGGGGGTCCTGCGAGTCCTAGTGGTGGTGGAGCTGTGGGTGACCCTGATGGAGGTCCTGGAGCTGGACAGCCACCGCAGCCTGACCTACTTGAGACGCTCTCGCCGCAGGCGATTCGTGCGTGGATCGTTCGGCGAGGCAGTCCTGGTGGTGGAGGGTACGGTCCTGCTGGTGCTGGAGCTGCTAGTCCTGGAGGTACTGCTGGTGCTGGAGATACTGGAGGTACTGCTGGTGCTGGATGTGCTGCTGGTGCTGGAGGTACTAGAGGTGCTGCTGGTGCTGGAGGTGCCAGAGCTACTAGTCCTAGAGGTGCTGGACCTACAAGACCTAGAGGTACAGCTGGTGCTGGAGGTGCTGGAGGTGCTGCTGGTGCTAGAGGCGCTAGAGTTGGAGGTACAAGAGGTGCTGGAGCTGCTGCACCTGGAGGTGCTCGTACTGGAGGTGCTGGAGCTGCTGGAGCAGGTGGTACTACTGGTGCTAGAAGTGCTGGAGGTTCTACTGGAGGTGCTAGAGGTACTGCTGGTGCTGGAGGCGCTGGAGCTAGAGGTACTGGAGGTGCTGGAGCTGCTGGTCCTGGAGGTGCTCGTACTAGAGGTACTGGAGCTGCCGGAGCAGGTGGTGCTGCTGGTGCTGGAGGTGCTGGAGGTGCTACTGGAGCTACTAGCACTGGAGGTGCTGGAGATACTACTGGTGCTAGAGGTCCTAGCGCTGCCAGAGCTAGTGGTGCTGCTGGTGTTGGAGGTGCTGGAGGTGCTGCTGGAGCTGCTGGTGCTGGAGGTGCTGGTGCTGCTGGTGCTGTAGGAGCTGGAGCTGCTGGTATTGCCCTGCGCAGACCGTTTTTCTACCCGCAGCCGCAGTCGTCCCTGCTGCCGCCTGACTCGGTCCTTCGCCAGGTTCTTATTCTCCCGTCTTCCACTGGCCTCCCTCTACCCAACCTGTGTCCACCAACAGACCAGTCTCAGCCACAGCTACTGCCTGCCTCCCCGCTGCTTGGGCCTGCTCCTCACACTGAGGTGACTGAGTCCCTGACTGAGCGTCGTGAGCCTGAGACTCGTGCTTCCACACCTGTTTGTGCTCGTCGTGTCGCCCGTCCTCGTCCTCTCGCTGTCCCGGGCACTCACGTTATGGCACTTCGTCCTTCCTCTGTTCCACAGCGTGTTGTCCTGCCTGAGCCTCCCGCGTCCGAACTTCTGCACGTTCCTGACCCTGAGTCCGACCTTGCTCGTGCTGCCAGTCCTACTGTCACTCGTCTCCTCGCTACAGTCGTCACTGACCGTGACCTTGAGTCTACTTCAGCGTTTGCCCTAGTCACTGAGCTAGTCGACTTTGCAGCTAGGAGTCGTCTCGACTACGTTGTGAGTCTTGTCACTGAGTCTGAGTCTGTCTGTCCTCCGTCCGTCGGGGGTGAGCTTGCCCTTGGCAGTGACGTACTTGAGGACAGACAGTTTGAGCTTGAGTGTCTTGCGGCCGCTTTACCTCGCTTCGTATCCATGCTGCTTTGCCCTTAGGGAGACCCAAATGCACTTGACATCCCTACCCCGCGCTCTTATGCTAAGGCGATCGCGGGTGAGTACTCCTCTCAGTGGCAGATAGACATGGACGCAGAGATGGCTTCTTGGAAGTCCACAGGCACCTACGTCGACGAGGTTCCTCCTTCTGGGTCGAACATAGTTGATGACATATGGATTTTCAGAGTGAAGCGGCCGCCGGGTTCTCCGCCTGCCTTCAAGGCGCGTTACGTTGCTCGAAGCTTCAGACAGCGATAGGGGGTCGACTTCTTCCAGACCTTTTCTCCCACCCCAAAGATGACTACTCTTCGAGTGCTGCTGCACGTTGCAGCACAGCGTAAAAACGAGCTGCACTCCCTCGACTTCTCTATAGCTTTCCTGCAGGGCAGCCTTCACGAGGAGATCTGGCTGCGCCGCCCACCCGACTTCACTGGGTCGTTTCCTGCAGGTACCCAGTGGAGCCTCTGGCGGCTAGTCTACGGTCTCTGCCAGGCGCCCCGAGAGTGGCATGACACACTGAGGACTACACTTGCGGCTCTTGGGTTTGCTCCTTCCTCTGCTGACCCGTCGCTGTTTCTATGCACCGACACTACCCTGCCGCCGTTCTACGTTCTAGTGTACGTCGACGACTTGGTTTTTGCTACTGCTGACACTGAGACGCCGTACCCATAGCTTGTGGGTTGCCTCATGTACCTGATGACGTGCACACGACCTGACCTCGCGTACCCTTTCAGCCTCCTGGCTCGCTACGTGGCTCCCGGTAGACACCGAAAGGTGCATTGGGATGCTACGAAGAGGGGACTGCGTTACTTGTGCAGTACATCGGGCATGGGGCTAGTGCTTGGAGGACAGGGTTCAATGGTACTCACAGGACACTCCGACGCTTCTTGGGCCGACGACCAGGCGACTCAGCGTTCGTCAGAGGGTTACACCTTCAGTCTTGGCTCTGGTTCTGTCTCGTGGAGGTCCACTTGTTCTTCTTCTGTGCTTAGTTCCAGCTTTGAGGCCAAGATGTACGCTGGGGCCATGGCTGCACAGGAGCTACGCTGGCTGATCGACTTGGGGGAACGGCCTCGTTCTCCTCCGGTTCTGTACGTCGACAACAAGGCAATGCTTGCATTGTGTCACGAGCAGAGACTGGAGCACAGAACGAAGCACATTTCTCTTCGCTACTTCCTTGCGCGTGAGCTGCAGCAGCGTCGTCAGCTCCGCCTTTCCTACGTTGCCTCGCGGGCCAACACTGCTCATGTGTTCACCAAGGCCCTTGGGTCTGGTGATCATCAGTGCTTCTGCACCGCTCTTGGGCTTCTGCCCACTCTGCCTCATCTGCTGGTTGCTTGACTTGCTCTTGTTGTACACTGATATATATCTTTATACCTGCTTGTTTACTCTTGCTCGGTTGTGATCAGTGTACTGCCTTGCTATTATAACTCTGCATGTGAAGTGGCCTTGTGGCCGCTTGCTTGTGCTCAGATTGTGTGGTGTCCATGAGATCCACCCTGATATTTACTTTTCTTTGTTCTCTTGCTTGACTGGTCTTGTGACCGTCTGTTGTGTTTGCTATCTCCCACTTAGCCTATGGGGGTGTGTCAAACTATATGTTTGTGTTCTCTCTAGGCTATAGTGGGTTAGCCTACAAGGGGTACAACACTTTAGGGTTAGTACTTGTACCCAACTCATTCATAGTTCATTCATTCCTGCATAGTGATTTTAACATCAGATTGGCTCCCATGATTTCCTTTGTGCAGGCATTCAGATTGGCTCCCATGATTTCCTTTGTGCAGGTATTCAGATTGGCTCCCATGATTTCCTTTGTGAAGGCATTCAGATTGGCTCCCCTGATTTCCTTTGTGCAGGCATTCAGATTGGCTCCCATGATTTCCTTTGTGCAGGCATTCAGATTGGCTCCCATGATTTCCTTTGTGCAGGCCCTTACCTCAACTCCTACTCCCTGCTGCCCTGTTCTGCCTGCTACATTCCCTCCATGCCCCTCTCCTCTCCTCCCCACACCTCTTCACCCTCCGCGTCCCTGTTGCGTTCTTCCTATTCTTCCCTGTCCCTTCCTTCCCATACGTCCCTGTCATTCCCTCCCCATACGTACCTCTGCCCCACTTCTCATTCTTTTGTGTTCCCCTTATTTCCCTCCCTTCACTTTCCCACACGCCGAGCCAATCCAATGCTCGAGACTCAGACCCTGCAGGTAAGATCCCGCGGCTTGGAACAACAGGGCTCGTGTCAGATTGCATGGCTTGCGAGCACGTCTTGGCTCGTAACGTTACTGCATTGTGTAACGTGTTCTTCTCCATGCTCGTAACATAACTTCTGTTCTGTAGGCTTCTTCCAACGCTTCGAGACCAAATATTTCAGTATCATAAAATTCATATATGTAAAACGATGGTGTTGTTTGAAGTGTGTGGAAGATCAATCTATACAAAATACGAAGTACTCTTAATGTACCCATTAATTAGTATATAAGGGTACCATCGCTCGCCATATCGAGCCGTATTCCAGACGGGTACAGAGAAGGCGTGAAGTGGACCCAACCGCAAACTACGAGGGTTTGAACATAACTGACTGATGCGTTTATTTAATGCCACAAGAACGTCTGGCGGCACAGACGACGGCAGGCCAGATACAAGGAGCATTTACGGACTTCGCTCTAGGCGCTGCTATTGAGAGCTCACACACTCGCGCTCGCGCGGACCGCCGCTTCCATTAGCATCGCGACCTTCGCCCTCTCCTATCGGCAACGTGCAGCGGCCGCGGTGTGCCCTAGTCCTACCCTGAGCGACGCTGAGCGAGATCATGTGGGGTAGTGATGGGGCGACCTGAGTACGTATCCGACGAGGAGGAGCGCGATGGTCATGCAGTGACGGCGCGCGGCGAGTGTCGCGAGGAGGACGAGGAGAGAAGACCGCAGGAGGAAGGGGCGGAGGAGGAGGGGGCGGAGGAGGAAGGGGCGGAGGAGGAAGGGACGGAGGAGGAAGGGGCGGAGGAGGAAGGGGCGGAGAGGGGAGGGACAGCGGAGTTCAGGGGACGAGGAGAGCAATGACGAGTTAGGGCATGAACGGGCGGCTGCGATTGAATTTGGTGCTGTAAAGGGAGAAATGGCGGGAGAAGACGATAACGAGGATGACGATAGCGATTCGGACGATGCGCCCGAGGAGTTCACTCTGTCGCAGGTGCCCGCCCACAGTCGCCGTCTCTCCCCTGCCCATCGCTGCGTTTCGCCTTTTTCTCTCGTCGCTCCACTGGGTCTGAATAGATTGGCGCATCTTTGAGTAGAATCCTCAAACCTTAAACCCTCGCTGTACCTCTCTCCCCGCGCTACCAGGGACGCGAACGGGTTTCGCAGCAACGACAGCAGGAGGCGGAAGCCCGCCGCATGTGAGTGGACGCCCCATTGTGGAGTGACGTGGCATGCCCCCATTGGTTGCATTCAGCCGCGTCTTTCGTTTGAGCTCTTCCGTCCGCCGATGTGCCCCCCGCCGTTGCGTCGCTCATCCCGATCCTCTACCCGCCGCCCCACCTTGCAGGGTTGCCGAGGCTGACAGAAAGGTTCGGCAAAAGCGAGCAGGCTTGGCAGCGAAGGGAGAGGAGGGGGAGGGAGGGGAAGAGGGAGACGGCGAGGAGTGGCGGAGCAAGGAGGCGGGGGGGAAGGCGAAGCGCAGGCGCGAGCTGGAGGGGCGCGCGGATAGGCGCACGCGGCGGAAGGGGGCGGCGGAGGGGGGAGACGAGCCGGCGGGGTCGTTGGTACCCGCAGAGGCAAGGGACGGTGCTCGGGATGAGGGGACGGAGGGCGGTGCGGGAGCAGGGGAGGGGGAGGGAGGGGCGTTGGGGGAGGGCGCGGTGGAGGGGGGCGACTTGCTTCCCGCGGACGTGATTGCTGTCGTCACACGGCGCCAGCACACCAGGTGCGCGCACAGCATGGGGGTGCTCTGGAAGATAGGGAATGGGACGGGGGAGTAGGGGGGGCGTAAGGGATAGGGGGATCTATATTCCTTGGATTGGTGATGGTGGTGAAAAACGCTATGATATCGTCTTTCCCCACACCCCATGCTGCCTTTGCTCACCTTCCTCTCTTCACTCAAACAACACCCCCCCAACCCTCCAACCTTTTCCCCCACGCTGCAGGTTCACAGAGGCGCAGGAGGAGAGGGAGCGGGTGGCAGTGAGGGAGAAGAAGCAGCGGGCGGGGCGGGGCGGCAGCCAGGGGAAGGACAGCCAAACATCGGCTGTCATCGGCACGCGGTGGGTGCTGTTGTAGGTAGTGCGCTGGCAGGCAGCAGTGCGCTCCTAGAGTGGTGTGCTCTTCCACTTGTCCTCACCGCACTCTTCCACTTGTCCTCACCGCACTCTTCCACTTGTCCTCTCCGCACTCTTCCACTTGTCCTCACCGCACTCTTCCACTTGTCCTCACCGCACTCTTCCACTTGTCCTCACCGCACTCTTCCACTTGTCCTCACCGCACTCTTCCACTTGTCCTCACCGCACTCTTCCACTTGTCCTCACCGTACTCTTCCACTTGTCCTCACCGCACTCTTCCACTTGTCCTCACCGCACTCTTCCACATCCCCCACAAGGCCAGCCCAGATCGCTTTCTCTCAGTCGGTCATCTTGCCCTTGTCACCAGACGCCATTCGCTGCCACTCCTCCTCCCATAGCCCCAGTCAACCCACTGCCCGCACCTGCATGCTCTCCATCGCACATACTGCACGATGTCAGCAATGTTGTGCTCCAACCAAACACACCTGCTGCATTGCCCCAACCCCTTTCTTCTCTGCACAACCCTCTCATTGCACTCCCCATCCCCCCTCCCACTAATCCCCCTTTTCTCCCACTGGCTACCGAGCAGGTCGGACGGGGCCATAGTGATCCAGGCGGGGGCGCCGGCCCCAGAGGGCGAGGAGGCAGCGCGAGCCATCATGCGCGCCACCCAGAGCTTTCGGCACGGGGTGCTGTTTGGGCGGCGGCAGAGGTCGGTGGCGGCGCTGGGGTTTGTGGACCCCAAGGCGCTCAAAGTGGCGGGGCAGTGGCGCGCGGACAAGCACCTTGTGGCGGGGGGCGCAGGCGTGCAGGGGGGTGTGGGGGCGCGGAGGGGGGGCGGCAAGAAGAAGGGGCGGGGCCGTGGTGGCGGGCAGGGTGGGCGACGATGAGGGGATGAGGAGATGAAGGGATGCTGTGCAGTGTGGGTTGGAGGGGTGGAGGTAGCGGGAGTCTATGGGGGAGCAGAGGCGACTGGGCGAGAGGAGGCAAATGGGCGAAGCGGAGTGATCATGGGGTTTGATTCAGACCATGCCGGCCACGGTATCTCCACTGTAGGAACAGTGCTTACGACGTTGCACACTGAGAACCCGTTGTAGGCTGGATAAGGCCGGGAGGTACTAGGATGTGAGTGGGCATACTCTAGTCCATGTAAGGAGCCGAGCAGAGCAAGGGAATGGCTGGGGAATCTGTTGCATGGCTTCTTGGCATGGCATTCATTACCATGCACATTCCGACATTTAGAAACACTGCACTCCTTGCAGCCATAAATGGACCAGGGTAGCAGTAGCTACAATAATGAATGAATCAGAGCAGCAGTTGCTAGTAACGAATGAATAAAAGCAACAGCTGTGAGCAATAAATGAATAAAAGCAACACAATTAGTTGCTGTTGGAAACATACCGTATTACCCCGGATAGTAGTGCATATGCGCTTATAATAAAATCAATTGTATATCGGCCATAAGCGCCGGCGCTTATATACCGTATGGCCCCGGATATAGGCGCCGTCCGATTAAGGGCGCCGGCGCTTCTATCTGGAGCATGGCGCTTATGGCCGGAACTCGATGTCAGATATATATGACCTAGCCTATGTAGGCTGTAGTGGGGTAGACACTAAGGGGTACAGGTTTCATATTTGTATCACACACTTTCCTAGTTCATTCATTCCCTCTTTCTTAACATGGTATAGAGCGGGTTTCCTAGTGGGACCGTTTCTTCCTAAGGGCCCACCACTTCATTTTTTTTGTTTCCTAACCTGCCCGAAGCGCGCTTCGCGCTCTGCCCTGCCCTACACTTTCGCGGCCCCTTAGCGGCCTGCCCTGCTCCTGAGGCCCGTCGCGGCCACCCGTTGCGGCCCCTTCGCGGCCCCTACGCGGCCCCTTCGCGGCCCCTTCGCGGCCCCTTCGCGGCCCCTTAGCGGCCCCTTCGCGGCCCCTTAGCGGCCCCTTCGCGGCCCCTCAGCGGCCCCTTCGCGGCCCCTTCGCGGCCCCGCCCCGTCGCCCGTAGCGGCCCCGTCCCGTCGCCGGTCACGGCCCCGCCCCGTCGCCACCCGGGTGTCGCCCCTGCCTCGTCGCGACGCCCCTGCAGGACCCGCGCGGCGTCGCCCCTGCCCGCAGCGGCTCTAAGCCGCCCCGTCGTCGCCACCCCTGCAGCAGCTGCCGTCGCCCCTGCTGTCGCCGTGGCGGCCCTGCCGCCCCGTCGTCGCTGTCCCTGCAGCAGCTGCCGTCCCTGCAGCAGCTGCCGTCGCCGTCCCTGCTGCAGCAGCAGCTGCCACCGTAGCGGCCCTGCTGCCGCTGCCGAGCCTGCAGCCGTCCTGCCGAAGCGCCTGTCCCGGTTCTTACCTGCCGCCTCACCGCGGCCCCTTCCTTGTGGCGCCCCCCCCCCCCTGCTCTGCTGACGCGCCCCGGCCCAGCCCCACCAGTAGCGGCCCACCTCTTCCGCCACTGGTAAGTGCACCGCCGCACCCGCGTGCTGCTGCACCCGCGCCGCCCTGCCTAGCCGAGCCGCCCTGCCGAACCGCCCCGCCCTGCCGAGTCGTGCTGCTACTGCTGCTGCTGTAGCTAGGCCACTGCTGCTGCTCCTGCTGCTATGGCAAATCCTAATGTACTCACATTTGATGCTGAGGGTCGAGCGGTCAACTTTGAGGTCTGGATAGATGATCTGCAGCTTTTCCTACAGTGCGATAGCAAGGATGGCCTCTCACGTCTGGCGCCTCTACTGCCCCTGCTGCTGATGCTGACAGTACTGTTCGCTCGCAGTGGACCACGCGCGATGCTGCTGCCCGCCTTGCTGTGCGTAGTCACCTACCGTCCACTGAGCGCGCGCACTTTAGTCAGTACAAGAGTGCTAAGACTCAGTACGACGCTGTAGTTGCACGCTACTCCTCCCCTGCCACTGCTGCCCTGAGTCGCCTCATGCTGCCGTACCTGTTCCCTGACCTCGCCGCATTTGCCACAGTCGCTGACCTTATTACACACCTCCGCACTAGTGACACCCGCTACCGCGCTGCGCTTCCTGCTGAGTTCTGCGCCAAGAACCCCCCCCCATGTACATCACCCTCTACTACCTAGTCACCCGGCTCCCTGACTCCCTTCGCTCGGTCGAGGACCACTTCCTCTCTGTTTGCCCCACCACACTCACCGTTGACCTCCTCATGGAGCGCCTCCTTGCAGCTGAGAAGAGCATAGTCGCTGTAGGAGCCTCTCGTGGTGACCCTCGTGCCCCTTTCTTTGAGGGGTGCTCCCCCGTCCCCCTTTTGCCCTCTGTTGCCTCTGCTGCTGCTGTCGACCTCGTTGGCACCGAGTCGGTCGGCGCTGCGTCTGCTCCTAGTGGGAGGCGCGTACTACCGTCTCTTCCCCTACCGCGCTGCCCCCCTCCCCCCCCCCGCCGCTCTTCCTCACGCCCGGTCCCCCCCCCGGTAGACCCCCTCCCCCCTCAGGGTCCTGCCCCCTCAGGTGTGTCCCAGGTAGATGCAGTCGAGCCTGTCGAGGTAGCTGTTGACTCTGGTGCTGGGTCTGGGGGTGCTGAGCCTGAGTGTGCGGAGCCTGGGGGTGCTGGGTCTGGGGGTGCTGAGCCTGAGTGTGCGGAGCCTGGGGGTGCTGGGTCTGGGCCTGAGCGTGCGGAGCCTGGGGGTGCTGGGTCTGGGGGTGCTGAGCCAGGGGTTGCTGAGAGTGGGGGTGCGGTACCTGCCGGTGCTGGACCTGGAGGTCCTTCGAGTGCTTTGTCCCGGCGGGAGCTACCCTCTCCACAGGAGCTGCGCGAGTGGTTTGCTCGGCGCTGGAGCCGTGCTGCTGGAGCTGGAGGTGCTGCCGGTGCTGGAGGTTCTGCTTCTGCTGGGGGTGCTGGAACCACGGGTCCCGGAGGTGCTCGTACTGGAGGTACTGGAGCTGCTGGGCCAGGTGGTGCTTCTGGTGCTGGAGCTACTGGTGGAGCTGGAGCTGGCCGTGCTGCTGGAGTAGGTGCTACTGGAGGTACTGGAGCCGGAGCTGCTGCGTCTGCCGGTGGTCCTGCTGGAGCTGGAGCTGCTGGAGGTACTGGAGCTGGAGGTGCTGCTAGAGCCGGTGCTCCTGTGGGTGCTGGAGTTGGCGCTCCTGGAGCTGCTGGAGGTACTGCTGGTGCTGGTGGTGCTGCTGGAGTTGGAGCTGACGCTGGGGGTGCTGGTGTTGTCCCTGCTGGTTCTGGAGGTGCTGCACGGCCGAGGCCATACATCGTTACGCTCCTTGAGCAGGTTCTTGGTCTTCCGCCTTCTTCTGGTCCTGCTCCTTCCTTAGAGTGTCCACCGCCTGTCCAGTCCGAGTCACAGTTACAGCTGGCCTCCCCTCTCTCTGCTCCTTCTCCCTACGCTGGTCCTACTGGAGGTCTTGCTGAGCGTCGTGAGCCTGAGTCGCGTCCTGCGTCACCTGTTCGTACTGCTCGCACTAGTCGTCATGTTCCACGTCAGCGTCCTCCTGCGGTCTCGGGCATGCATCAGATGGCACTGCGTCCTTCCACTGCACCACAGCGTCTCCCTTTGCCGACTCCTCCAGAGTCCTCTCTTCCTGCTCTTGCTGACCCGGAGTCTGACTCTCTTCGTGCTGCCAGTCCTACTGTCACGCGTTTCCTAGCCACTGCTGTCACTGACCCTTCCTTTGAGTCCGCTGCTGCGTCTGCCTTAGTTGCCGAGCTTGTCGACTTCGCTGCTCACTGTCGTCTAGACTACGCCACTAGTCTTGTTGCTGAGTCTGCGTCTGTCTTTCCTCCGTCCGTCGGGGGTGAGTGTGCTCTTAGCACGGACGTCCTTGAGGACAGGCAGGAGGAGTTCCAGTGTTTTGCTGCTGCTTTACCTCATCTCGTGTCCATGCTGCTTGCCCCTGAGGGAGACCCGGATGCACCAGACATCCCGACCCCGCGCTCTTACGCAGAGGCGATAGAGGATCCCTACTCCTCTCAGTGGCAGGCAGCCATGGACGCAGAGATGGCTTCCTGGAAGTCCACAGGCACCTACGTCGACGAGGTTCCCCCACCTCGGGCGAACATCGTCAGTGGCATGTGGATTTTCAGGGTGAAGCGGCCGCCGGGTTCTCCGCCTGTCTTCAAGGCGCGTTACGTGGCTCGAGGTTTCAGTCAGCGGCAGGGAGTTGACTACTTTCAGACCTTCTCCTCGACCCCGAAGATGACCATTCTTCGGGTTCTACTGCACGTCGCTGCTCAGCGTGACTACGAGCTTCACTCCCTTGACTTCAGCACTGCTTTCCTACAGAGCAGCCTGCACGAGGAGATCTGGCTGCGCCGCCCACCTGGCTTCACTGGGTCGTTTCCTCCTGGTACCCAGTGGAGTCTCCGGTGGCCAGTCTACGGTCTCCGCCAGGCGCCCCGTGAGTGGCACGACACACTGAGCACTACGCTTGCGGCTCTTGGGTTTGCTCCTTCTACTGCTGACCCGTCGCTGTTTCTTCGCACCGACACCTTGCTGCCGCCGTTCTACATCCTCGTGTACGTCGACGACTTGGTGTTTGCTACAGCTGTCACTGCTGGACTCGCCCACGTGAAGTCCGAGCTGCAGAAGAGACACACGTGCACAGACCTGGGTGAACTGCGCAGCTATCTTGGCTTGCAGATTACCCGGGACAGAGCACGGCGCACCATTACCCTGACTCAGTCACACATGGTGCAGCAGGTCCTTCAGCGCTTCGACTTCACGTACTCCTCGCCTCAGGCCACTCCTCTGTCTACTCGCCACTCGCTCTCAGCTCTGCCTTCGGATGAGTCCGTAGAGCCGAGTGGCCCGTATCCAGACCTTGTGGGCTGCCTCATGTACCTGATGACTTGCACACGACCTGACCTCGCATACCCTCTCAGCCTTCTGGCACGCTACGTGGCTCCCGGTAGGCACCAAAAGGTGCACTGGGATG